TGAAGGAGTAAAGCCAAGTATAATCCATCGAGATATAAAACCAAGTAACATCTTAGTAAGCGAGAATTTTGAGGCTAAGGTCTCAGATTTTGGCCTTGTTAAATCAGGTCCTGTGGGGGATCAATCACATGTAAGCAGTCAGATTAAAGGGACACCAGGGTACCTTGACCCTGCCTACTGTGCAAGCTTCCATTTAAGTCCTTTTACCGATGTTTATAGCTTCGGTGTCATTCTTCTGCAACTTGTTACTGCTAGACCTGCAGTCGATTCATCTAGAAAACACCCTAATATTCATGTTGTTGATTGGGTAAGTAAAAGATCCGGCTATCTTATTATGTAGAATAAACGTGAATACCAGCATTACATACAAGTGCCCCTTTTGGTCCTTATTTTTGTTGCAATCATGCTGTCCGCGCTGATTTTTGTGTATTTTGCACCAACACATGCATTATCCAGATATGATCGAGTGAGAAAGAAGAAATGGAATGATCTTTTTTTCTTCCAAAAGTGCAGGCGAGGTCTAGCCTGGAGAGAGGAAGAGTTGACGAAATCATAGATGCAAATATTCTACTAGAGGAATGTAACATGGAGATAATGTTGAAGATGGGACAACTTGGATTAAGATGTGTGGTGGAGATGCCGAAAGAGAGGCCTACAATGACTCAAGTGTGGCAAGAACTAGAGACAGCTCTTGATTCAGTAGAAATCTTTATACCTAAACAATCTTCATTGTATTCCGAGGAACTATCAGGATTCCGTAGTGGATCAACTGGTTATCGGGATCGCGGATCGATTGACAATGGTCATTCTCAAAGTTCCATAAGCATAGATGGAATTGGACTTCAAAAATTTCATGTAGACATAGATAGTCACTCTTTCCGGAGTTCGAGTTTGACGTGTTTCGAGCACAGCATTAACATGGATGCTGCTGCAAAGAATCTAAGAGGCATTGCTGAGGAGATAAGTATAAGCATGGATGAGGACAAGGTCACAGGGGCAAATGAATTCAGCTTAGACTATGATGTTAGCATGATTTGCCATTACCCATTATAACATTGTGTGTTTTAGAGAAAGAGAGAAGGTTTGCTTGTATGTTTGTAAAGGGTTATTTTGGTACTTGAGTTGCCAACTGGGTAGATTTGAATCCTATGTTCTTCTGAGGATTATTTGCATTCACTGTCCAATTTCAAGGATTGGGGGGCACATGTACATAAGAACTTTTCTAAGTAGAATTTCTCTCCAGTTTAGTTTTCTTGGTTTTCTCTTTCGTAAGCATTCAAGTTCGTGAAATATTGAAGCTGAAAAGGCATAATATCTTTGCATAGGAAGTGAAAATTTGCAGCATTTCTTGAAGAATTATATCGATGTCATCCACAGAGTTCAAAAGTTGCTTCAGATAATTCTCTCGTCGTCTCTTGCATCCAAAGTAGCAACTAGATTGCATCCATCATTGCATTTCAGCCTGGTTTTCCAGCTCTAGATATCTGACATGATTTCAAATTCATCTTTAAAGGTTTCTGGCTTTTCTGGACCCTTGGATACATGGTTCGCCGTCGCAGGTCTCATGTCGTGATTGCGGTTGTTCCATATCCGTCGTGACATGTCGGTTGGATATCAGATGATATGCACGTTACAGCACATAAAAATTTTCAAAAAATATGAAAAACTTACTACAAAATAGAAAATACCATAACAAGTACAATTATCAAATTAGATTTGTTAAATACCTACAGTGTCACTAATTAGTTAAACAAATTTATGCTACTGTAACTAATGATCTATAGCATTAAAAGTAAATCATTTTACCATTAAGAACACCTTTTATTCCTATTTTATATGATATCAAAAGTTAAATATAAGATTAAAACCGTTATATTTTATACAACACAATATTAATCGCACTCGAGCTGATGATAACATATAAGGAGAAATTTGTTGAACAAACCATAAATCTAGTCTAAGTAATTATATTGTTAAGCATATGTAACATAAATTTGCAAATCACATAACAAAAATATTAAATATTAAATCTAGGAAAATAGTAAATTAGAAATAAAACCTTTAACAATTTCAAATAAATGAACAAATTAACAAACCTTTGCTCAAATAGCTAATCTGCGCTTCCATCAAATAGGCCCAAAAAATTCCTTTGTAAAAACCACCTTCAAAATGTCAAATTCCATACCCTTGAAAGCCCATAAATTTGAGGGTCAATTATCCAATTGGCCCTTGAACTTTTTATCTAGATAAAAATAAGTCTCTCATCTATTTTTGGTTGACTTTGAGCTCTCGAACTTGTAAAACTGGGCACCGTGACCCTTTTATAACCAATTTATCCGGTTTTACAATCGAAAAGCCAATTTACACGAATGCCAGTGTGCTTCTTCAAAGGGCATTTTTGTCCGCATCTTCTGAGCAAAAGGGAACAACTCCTCCTTCTTCACTGGGGTAACAACAAGATTACATCCTGTTGGAGTGAATCTGTAATCTTGTTGGGATTACAGATTCAATCTCGAATTTGGGATCCTCGAGGAATTTCTCTAGGAAGGAGGAACAAACATGAATAAGTACTACAAGTAGAATTGCGGGGGGGCGTCCAGCAAAGCCACGAGCGGGGATATTGCTCCGAGCAAAGCACGAGTGGTTCTGGCTTGAGAATCGCCTTTAGCGAGCCTTCTAATCTCCTTGGCTGCCTCCAACACGCGAACATCTGGAGCTAAGAAGCCATGGTTTTCATTTTCCTCGAGTTGTTGGCTGCTGCTACCACTACTGCTACTTTGGAGATTCTTCACCACTGTCTTCAATTCCTCCAGTGCCTCCACTTTCCTCTTCACCGCCTCCGCCTCTTCCTCGTCCGGTTCGTTTTCTTTTTCCGATAGCTTCAGAAGGTCTGATAACTTGTCAGATTCGGAGGGCGGTGTGTTTGTTGGATCCTTAATCCCACTGCTAATACTACCTTTACTCAACTCATATCTCAGTGTTGTGACTACAGTGAGATCAATGTCGGGCTCCAGCTTGGGCTCTTGGATGGTTAATTTGCCAGTGTTGTTGAGCTTATGATGCTGCCGCGTCCCGCACTGAACTGTGTCCAGTATAATACGGCGGAATGAGGCTGACCAAATCTTAAACTGACGCCCTCCGCCGGGAGTCGGGTGGTCGAACACCACGGATCCGAGGTTGTTCCCGTGCAACTTCCCCATTAATTACTAGTAGTATCCGCCATCTTTACTCAGAGTTGAAATTAATTTGATTTCCCCAGAGATGGATGCTGGAATTATAAATTTAACCACTCTTCCTCTTCTTCTTGGACCGAGTATTATTTCTGCATTTTACCACTGTGAAAGAAACCGCACCTCTCCTCAAAACCTCAAACTGAAATACGTACAAGAAGTATGTAGTAAAAACAATTCTATTCCTTTTCCATGAACTTCCTCTTCTATCTTGGCTGGTTTTTCTTATGTTGTCGGTCCCCTTCTTCTGGTAAGTACGAACACGCTATAGTTTGTATGCTTCCATGATTGAGACACACACACCCACACTGAGATTTGAGAAGCTAGTCGAGTGAAGTAAGTACCCATCTGCTTCACTGGGATAACAAACTAGGAGGAGTTGTTCCATTTTTACCTAGAAGATGCGGACAAAAATGCCTTTTGAAGAATCACACAGGCATTCATGTAAATTGGCCTTCCGGTTGCAAAATCGGATAAACTGGCTAAAAGAGTCACGGTGTTCAATTTTACAAGTTCGAGGGCTTAAAATCAGCCAAAAATAGATGAGAGGCTTATTTTTACCTAGATAAAAAGTTCAAGAGCTAATTGGATAATTTGCCCTAAATTTGAAAGTTGAAAAACCCATATTTACCCTAATTATCACATTAGCACCTATTTAAGCCTTTAACCCCAAAGCTTCCTAACTCCTTGACCTTTGATTGACTTGTCATATTAGCATCACTAGTCACGACCATCATGTTGCATCATCCTTATTGGCTACCAAATCTTGAGCCTTTCCCTCCCTTTTCTTCCTTTCCCTTCGCCGTTACTAATGGATTAAATTTTCCTGAAAAACTCTTTTCTTTTCTAATAAAAACAAAGGCAAAGGCAAGACTTGGTGGAGATGGGATTCAACTCACACATGATTGTTGGCTATTGTTAGGAAAAATGGAGATGGGCTTGACTTCTAAAAGGATAAGTGCATAACCTATCAATTTGCTTGTTTGGTTTCAATTATTAGGCGTTCAATTTTCCAATAAAAGCTTAAAAAAAAAAAAAGGTAAAACAATAGAGATATGATGAAAGGCAATTGTTGTTGTGAACCATTGGAGTAGCACCAATTTGTTGCATAACTCTGTTTCTGCAAATTTTTGTCTGCCTTTGTTTGATTCCCAAGTGGACTCGAAGATTTACGTCGATTTCAGTTTTGACTTGGCTTTGACTTGTCCAATATCGATCAAGTCAGAGCGAGCCACCGCAAGATTTATTTACAATTTAGAGATCAATATCGTAACAATTCCTCTGTTCCAATGATGACTCGACTGAGTTTTGTCGGACTCCACTGAGATGGCTAACCATGCTTGAATACCTTATCCTTGTTGCTTTACCCTATCTACCCAAAGATCACCAATTAATCAGAACACATGTACTTGTATATTCGTTCAAGGGTCTAAGTTATTATAATTGACTAGATTCTAGTGAAAGAGGAAGAATAACAAAGAAGAAAACCTAAAGCTGGGCGGCATCCGTCTGCTTACCGTACCGCCCGAACTGATATCTCTTGGGGATCAGCCTGATCATATTCTTCGCCGCTCATCATTTAACTTGGTCATAAACCTGCACTTATCATTCCAAAAGGACCAAATCCTCTCTAGATGTAAAATCCATTCTCCATGCCTGAAAAGCCGAATTTATCTCGCCCAACACCATGTATTACGAGGTACATGCAGTTGTAGTCCCCTAAGGCTACAGTAACCATAACTTTGTCATCTGAGATGATGAATCACAAGCTGTAACAAGACAAACAATCTTTTGATTTCAAGAGGATTCAGTTTTACACCATTTACATGATACACTTCAAAAAAGAGGCGGGCAAGGGAAGGAAAATGAATATAAGCTGAAACGATAATCCTCAAGAAAGAATCTCTACAGTAAATTTCAAGGTCTCCTTTACTTCCTTATCCTTTCACTCTTTTTTACTGATCATAAACTAAACAAAACACCAGTTCCAAGTCAACGTTACAATTTTACACGGGGGGTAAAAATTAAATTAGTGCCGCACCTTCTCCAGTCTCTCTTAATCTACCATAAGATGGTCACATGAAGTTCCAGAAGGACACAGCAGAGTATACAACAGATGTAGATTTCATGCACTACCGAGTTGTGTTGGAGCCAAAGCTTTCGCCGGCACGTTGATACCACCACCTCTTAGGGACAACGTGGGGCCTCTCAAAGTGCTGGCTCTACTCACAAGATTCGAATCTAGGAAAACAACTATGACCGTAATGTCATCATGAAAATGCCGTCGAACTCCACGATCTATCTTCTTCAGGTCAGAGTACCTCATCTCTCTTTTCTTGGCTGCTTCTTGCAATGCAGCCTTTACCAGCTTCCGAGCAATACCCTGCATGAATGAAAAATCAGTTGATAGACACAATCTCACGCTTTTCATACAACTCTCTTATCCCAAGGCTCAGGTTCAGAGAGTTCATACAGACCATGGATCTCAACCAATAGCAACGGACTCCCATTTCGACACTCCCACGTCTCTAAGCTTCTATCCAACCCCTCCCCTCCCAAAAAAAATGATAATTTTATAATAAATAATAAGACACTCAACAAGCTTTGAAATGTTTGCAAATCTATCTATTAAACTTTTCAAGTACAAAAATTCCTCTCTGATAATTAAACAAGCTGGAGGTCAATAAATATGAATTTACTCATTTGCTTTTCTGTTTTCAATTTCCAGTTGAAAACCAGCAGCTGGGAACTGTAGGGTTCACTAAACGCATCCATCCTTACCAAACTGGGATTCGACTTGCTCTCAAGGATTAACCAAGAATTAAACACCCTACCTCTGCCCTTACCCACAATGCACACCCTAAGGTTTTGGGACCCCTGATGCAAAATGCAAAACTTGCTTTCTTATGCAGCAATAAATATAATCAAATAGAACCAAAACAGGCAGAAAAAAAATGCATTTACATGCACTGGCTGAGAAGCTTTTTGGTTTAAAAATGCATTCTGAGGCTGTTGGAGGCTATGTTTTCAGAGTCGGACCGGCCATCGCCTTGGTCGAGCTTAGGAGTCAATGGGTTCGATTGGGGTTGAATCGGATAATGTCATAACTAAAAATTATTTAAAAATTAAAATATTATATGTCAAATCCTTAAGAGTATGTTAATATTAATAAATGTATATTCATATATATTTGATGTTTCAAATATATTTAATAAGAAAATACAAAGAAATTAGAATGATCAAGTAGTAATTTATATTATTAAATGAACATTAACAAGTTTAGAATTAAAATTATGGATTTGATTGAAAAATAACACCAAACTTTAGAACAACAATTATAAAGTATGAAATATTTGTGATATATTCATAATTTTTAACAACCTAGGGGCCAAAACATAATATTGAAAATGTTGACCTTTTCAAAAAAAAAAAAAAAAAACCCTTGACATCAAACCGGTTCATCCGGTTTGCCGGTCAAATCCAGTTTTTGACTGAGTTTTTATACACCTGATTTTTTAGAGTAACTCGGACCGGACACTTGTTCGGTTCCCGGTTCGACTGCCCTGTCCGGTCCGAGTTTAAAAACACAGGTTGGAGGTCGAACTTATGATACAGAACAATGGATTGGACATAACAAGGTTATGATAATCAAGCACCAAAGTCACAAGACCATGCATTACAAGAGTGTTTTTGAAATATTTTACTATAACATTGTATATGAAAAACTTTTTACTGTAAATGTTTTTGAAGGTGTTTTTGGGATATATTTTGGAGTATTTTTAAAGTTTAAAAATTTTTTTGGTATTTTTTAAAAATTACCATCACCACCCACCACCCTTTCCCTTCTCCTCCCTCTCTTTATTCCCCCTCCCTCTTCCTCCTCCCTCTCTTTCTTCCTCCTCCTCCCCTCCTCCCATCTTCTTCCTCCGTTTTTTTCCTCCCCTCCTTCCTTCCCCTTCTCTTCCCTTTTCCAGCCATGCCTCACCCGGATCGAGGCCAGATTTTTGGGAAGGGGGGGGAAGGGGAGCAGTGGGGTGTGGCGAGAAAGGGGAAGGGAACAGTAAGAGAGGAGGAAGAGAGAGGGAGAGGAAAGAGGAGATAGGGGATGGTGGTGGTGATAGATGGAAGAAGAAAATGGTGTAGATTTTATTTTTTTATTTTTTTATATATTTGGAGTTGTTTTTGATATATTGTATGGATGTGAGGTGTTTTTGGAGTTGTTTTTGTTTGTGTATTACTGTAGCATTGTATATGAAAAATTTGTTTTTCAAAAAATGAGGAATCCAAACAGAGCCAGAACTTTTAAATTGCACACAAGAAAGAACAACGCAAATGAGTACATAGGTAAACAAACTGATCTTCTTTTGTAATCTATAGAACCCACAATTTTGGACCAAGAACCTTTAAATGTCAAAATCTTACTGCAATGGGGAAACACAACTTCTTCAAACTAAATATTCAAGACTCATTTGATTTCCTATTGTGGATGAGAAATTAGTCCAGTTTTTGAGGGAAATAAAAACATATATGCTAGATAGACATGTAGGCTCAAGATCTTACGCTGCGGGGATGATTTTGCACTATATCCACTGCCTCCTGATTGCTTAGGTGTTCCCAGAGACCATCAGAAGCAAATATGAGAAACTGATCATGTGGCTGGAGTTCATGAACAGTTATTGCTGGTTCAGAGCTTAATATAGGCCTTTTGAAAGGTTCTCGGAGACGAAACTTAGCATATAAGGGCTCCCTATTGAATTCCGCCCTTTTAAGATACACATCACCAATTGATCTTGAAACCTACAATAATTAAATTTTGACAGTTAGGAAAAGCACAACTTGTAGGGAATCATAATGTACAACCCAGAAAATAATGCACGTTGACAGCTACAATTTACTATACATTTCATAACAACAAAGTACAGGGTAGATACATCAGAGATTAAAAAGTGCATGTTCCTGAAAAGGACTCTTGACAAATGGAGCTATTAGAAATTTAAAACTTAGGCCTTTCAAATACTTTCCATCTAAACAAAATTTTGCTTCTTTTCTTTTTTCTCATTTCGCAGCTATATTGTGAGCCCAAAATGAGAAAACCATGCAGAAAAAAAACAGTATGTCAATATGAAAACACTAAAAAACTTGAGCATCTGATAAAAAAATGTACAAAAAAAACTGCTATTGTCAAATTAATAAATTACAAAGAAATGGGATTTCATCCAGCATGTCTGGATGGGTTAAGAACTGCGATGGACAGAGAAGCAAGTAAATAAAAGGAAAATGCCTAAGGATTCTCAAAAGCAGACCATATTGTATGTGTTCTGTCTTTACTCCTTTCTTTCTTTCTTCAAAGACCTTTCTCTCAAAATGAGGATTCAAGCACTTTGGTACATTCAATGTGATAAAATTAGGTAAGATTTGATTAATAAATTATGGTAAATAGGATCCATCATGCATAACTTCTTAGAGGCTTTTCGAACATGACTTCTATTTTAAGAAGATTCACCATGCATGCGATGTATATAATGTCATTGCTGGACACAGAAACCATGTGGCACTAGCTTACTATATTTAGAGTGACAAATTGATTGCTCTACACAAAACAAGCTGAATTTTGATGGCCAAAATAGCAAAAACAAATCAGAAACTACTCAAACAAGTTTCATCTGAAACAGAAGCGATAGCTTTTTATGAAGCTCAGTGGTTCAGGTTGGCTCTGCTGATTTACTTTCATTAACTTTGATTGAGCTATGGACTTAAACAGCCTCCTTTTTCCTCTTTTATACATTTACTTTAATGAGAAACGTATAGCAGCCAAAGGAGATCCAATGTCATCTCTACCACCTGACATTGTAATGGAGATATATGACCGGTAATGCTATCAGAAGAGTTATGTTTTCTGTTGCCTTGTGTCTATTGACAATTTTCTATAGGAAACCTGAAAGACACAGGAAGCTGATGAAAACATCCAAAAGGCACAACTAATTCTCCTCTTGCTCATAAACGAGATAACTAGAAAGACAAACTATTATTGGGATGCATTAAGCAAAACAATAACAAAATTTTTACAAGTCAGCTATAGCTTCATTTATCTTTTCAAGAAAAGGCCAATGAGAAGTTAGTGATCTCTAGTATTAGACAACATCGGTTGGCAATGAGAAGAAATGAAATACGCACTCTATGCCACAATAGAACGTGGTAAACGACACACATTTACTGCCACTTATGCCCGGACTTTACCTGTATCAAACCCTTTACACGCCATACATTATGCTTGAGAACAACTATATGAGAGTCATCTGGATGCATTGCATGCAATTCCTGTCTGACAGACTCTATGCTTGCATTATGTTCATTAGATAGCTGGATGGCAAGAACTTCTCCAGTTGCCCTGACAACCCTCCCCAATACTGCCCTAGAGTCACCAAGGTTGGCGATGTATAGGGTCCCACCACATATAACACCAACCAGGCAACAAGATCCAACAGCGGCCATCTGTGGTTTCATTGGCCAATTTTTTGAAACTACTGACAGAAATCCCTCTTCTGTTGCTTGAAATGCTTTCCGAATTACATCCACTGACATGGAACTTTGCTCTGAGGCAAACCCTAAATAGCACAAGTTAACAAAAATCAATGTTGAAAGGCTGTTTTGAGAATACAAGTCATGACAAAAGCAATCATATGAGCAAGAATACATGTGTCAACACTCACAACAAAAGCAATCATTTTAAGTGAATCCTTTAAATATGCTTCATACGTTCCAAGACACATGGAACTAAAGGTAGGACAAAAAGCATTAATTTTCCAACCATCTTTTTCCAAGACCCAATATTATTTGCTAAATTTTATTTAGCTTGCATTAATTTGCTAAAGTTACGACAAAAAGCATTAATTTTCCAACCATCTAAATTTTATTTGCTTGCATCAACGCATTTTCCAACCATCTTTTTATCTCACATACATCATATCAAAAAAGTGCTATAGTATTTTTTTCACAAAATTATCCCAAATAATCTACTACCCAAACACGCTAGCGATCAACAAATCCAGTTATGTTTCTTACATAGGTCACTTACTTTTCAGATGCTGAAATAGGTGATCGTTGATGTATCGCGATGTCTCAGGCCCTCCATGACCATCATATACTCCAACAAATGTTCCATAGGGACCAGAATCAAGCAAACTCAATGAACCTGATTCAATCTGGCTTTGATCCTCAAGCAAATTATTGGCCTGGACAACCGCCATTGAGAAGTCACCAATTAAGTGCTGTCCAGTGTCTTTGTACCAAAGAAGCCCATCTTGCCGGCCTGCAGTGTCCGAACCTGAGTGTGCACATCGGTCTGAAGAGGGCCGGCAGCAGGCCTTTAGAAATTCTATCAACCTTGATAACATCCCTCATTTCAGCCCTGCTTACCACCAATTCTTCAACATCCTAATTGGATGCAAAGAGTACAATATCTAACAAGCTCTTAGAAGTATTTGCCACACCTGCAAAATGATTGATAACACCAAATAACCCCACAAACATATCAATTGACAACGAACTGATATTAATTCCAAGACCATACAATTGATTAAACATGATGGCTTTATAGGTAAATTTAGACAAAACACATCAGCACAATAGGACAAAACTTTTTAGAAACCGAAAAAATCGTCTTCCTTAATTCTCAAAAAAGGAAAATAGGCCCGACCGATATCCTAGCACCTTCTTGATTTGAAGACAATATAGAAATAGAACCACCAATTGAAGCTAAAACTAGGGGTCAAATCTACCCAATACAGTCCATCGGAGCAGACAATGTTTTGGTCAGAGAACTGAACCCATATTAAAACCCAAAACCATCCACAAACAAAATTGAACGGTATCAGCAAATTAAACAAAACCAGTCACAAATAAAGCTCACAGCCTTTTCTTTAAAAAATTTGAACTTTAAAACAGTATAAAGAGAGAATACTCACAGTTTGGTTAGGCCTATGTTGTGGTCTTTCCTGGTCAGCTACTGAACAATACCAACTGAAAAGGATGGAGATCTGAAAGATGTAGAGCAATTCATACGCTTGTAAAAGGGTTAGATCTATAGATCCCTCAATCACCTTTCTGTACAAATATGCACAATTGCATAGATAAAATATCAGAAATTTAGCTTCCTATTTGCTTCTGGACAAAAGCGCTTTATTATTTTCCTCTCTCTTTCCCTTGGATTTCCTGTGGGTTCAGTTGATGATGAAGAACTAACAAGAAAGAGAGAGATGAGAGGAATAAGTAGAAGTAGATAAAGGAGTTTTCTTTCTCAATCAGAGTGCGTGTTTTTATTAGTAGAATTACTGACTGAACAAACCAAGCCAAGTGTTGCAGTATTAGTCTTGTTTTTGTTTCCTATTGGAGTGTTGTAAAAACTCAGCAGACAAAAACCTCAAAATATATTATTCATTAGTAAAAAAAAAAAGAAAGAAAGAAAACCAACAAAACAAAAAGAAAAAATTGATGGCTGTGTGGGCTGTTGCCATGGGCTCCACCTCCACACATGATGACCCAGACAGGAAAACTCAGTCCTTGTACAGAAACAAACTCAAGAAGTTGATGGAGAAAGTTGATTACTTGATTTATTAAGATAAGAAGTTCAATTGGCAACTGCATTTTATCCTCTTTTTCAATTTTGGCAAATGAAGGTAAATCATCAAATTCAGTTGTTTCTCAAGTTTTGGGAAAAAAAAAGCCACCACTCTCAGAGTTAGTGTTAAATGATTGAGGAGGGTCTGTCTACTTTCTTACCTTGGCCTTTCTTTCTTTTCTTTTCTTTTCTTTTAACAGAAATTTCTTTTCTTTTCTTTTCTTTTCTTTTTTTCAAAGAACATTTGCATTCATTTTCACCTTGCTCACCTTTGCTTTGAGCTGGCTAAGGAACCACATGAGCAAGGAAAACTTCAAGATGTTTACTCAACCTTTTGTTCATTATGCCTATTTGGACAGAAGATTATTTGAAAAGAAAATATAATAATGATATAACACATTCTATAATTGGATATGCGCGGATAAAGAATTGGATTGGAGTATTTTTCAAAAACTAGTTTTTCAAATATAATAAATTTTTTTAAAAAATACTCTAAAAGGTAATTTAAAAATTAGTTTAAATTTTTTTAAAATTTTAAAAAATATCTCAAAATATATTCTATAAACTCTTCTTCTCTTAAATATTCCAAAATATTTTCTGAAAATATTCTAAAATATAATCTAAAAATTCTACTACAGCAAAATTTTTCAAAAACACCTCAAAAAACAGTTAATCCAAACGGAGCCAAACCAGCTAGCATGTAGTTGCATACATTTAATGTTCTTTGCTTTTCAGTGATTATCCCACCTTTGAATAAGATGACAATCAAATGAGCATATTTATTGGATTCTAACCGAATGCATTATTGAATTAAATTGATCATGGTATATGCTGCAACCTTGTGATCATTCTAGACATCAACAAAAGATTGTAAGATGCTCGATGCTTTCAACTATAAAATTAAAGCTAAGATAAAGTAAATTTTGGCCCAACAAATTGAGACGTTTCATTTAATCTCCTTGTTAAATTGCTGATGCCACTAATGGATTCATATCTATGTAAACTAGTAATTAAGGGCGGCTAAAGACGTGCAAATGGCACATAAAGGAGAAGAAGGATATTATTGTTTGGTTGAGAAAGTCTCAATTTAATAATGAAGGTTGAAATCTCGAGATTTAGAGATTTTAGATTCAAATTTCTCTTAACTTCACTGCTTTTGAAATTCCATCCTTCTTCCCTGCTAGAGAGAAAGGAAAAAGAAGAGCGAAATGATTGTCTCAAATTCTAATAGACATCGAATCCTTCGAAGTGATGTTATGTTTTTGTCCATCTTAAATGGAATGATAAAGGGATTTTGTCTATGATTGTCGTGCATAAAAACATGGTGGTTAAGCACAAAAGCATTCTTTAGGTGAGTCCAAATTTCTTAAGCTCCTACCTTTTCCTTCTTAAGCTCCTATAATAATGAAGTTTAACAGTATTGTCGTCGTTTGAGTATGCTTTCCCCATCTTTTGGGAAAACGAAGAATTGCGAAACGACACTCTACCATTTACAATTGGATCCTCTTGAGATATTGACACATATCCGTCTTGTTTCACGCCTGAACTTGCACTTTTTACGTCATAACCTACTTGCAATTTTTTGCAACTTGGCAGGACACCCTACGTGCTTTAACAGTTCCTTGTGCGCAAGCTATTTCTATTCCAAGTGTATAATAAAGGAAGCATATTTTTGTGTAATTCACAATATTCCCAAAACAAAAAAATGAGGAAAAACAAATAGAAAAGGGGCAAGATCGAGGAAGCAAGCAATCAAGCAGCAAAATCAAAGAAGAAAAAAAAAACTGATCTGTTGTTGTTTACGCATTTTGTGATGAACTGTGAACAAAGATGAACTGTCGATATAAATGGTGTCAATTAATTACTATGTACTTGGTAAGATTCCTATGATAGTTAACTATCCTATGATAGTTAATTATTCGATCTGTTAATCTACATCTCATTTAACTTAACTATCCTATGATAGTTAATTATTCGATCTGTTAATCTACATCTCATTTAACTCTACATCTCATTTAACTTTATAGGATGATAATCTTAACTAACCTCTCAACATGTTTATGCAACATCCAAGTCAACCCCTCCAAATATAGATCATCCAAGATATAGGATTGGAGAACGCAGGGCCTCTCTCTGGCTTAAAATTAAATGTTGTCTAATGTTATGCCAGTTTCTCATGCGAAACATTATTGGTTCATCAATTTATTTCAGACAAAATCCTCAATGGTGAGCTCTTTTTAGTTTTTATACTCTTTTTTTAAGAAATACCTATAAACCCCAGAGTGACGTATAGGCCCCGTTTGACAAGTGAGTTTTTTGGGTGTTTGTTTAAAATTTTACTGTAACTTACCGTAGAAGTTTTTAAAAAAATTTTTAAAGTGTGTTTTTTTTAATATTTTGAAGTGTTTAGTTTAAAATTTTTGAGAAGTTTTTTGAGGTTACTATACCTAAATTATAAACTCACCTAGTTACCTATTCCCTTATATAATTGTACCATTAAACATATTCGTTTTATTTTGGACCATGTAATGATCCAAATTAACTGTATATATTATCTGGTCGTCCAAAAATCTATTTTCCTCTTAGTTACAGCTGAAAAATAAAGGGGGTAAAAAAGGAGAACAAATATGAAAGCCAGTTACCCGACTGTGTTAACAAATTACTTGACCAAGTACGATGAGATATGAGTAAAATTAAGAAGTACTAAGATGATAGTTTCCAAAAATGGAAAGTTGCCTGGCTGGCTTGTGGCTCCACCTTTCGGGCTGCTGCCATGGACGATTTACGTAGTTTTGGACTTGACCACAGCTCATAAAAGAGCCTTCTAGTACACCACCAACTACACAGGCTGAGCCCAGCCCATAAATACCCGCTTAAGGCTAAGTTTGGGAGTTTATGATAGAAAAGAAAAGAAGGGAAAACTTAAGTTATGAGAGAAGAGAAGAGAAGAGAAGGGATTGTTATATTGTTTGGGAGTTTTGAGAATTAGTGGAATGATTTTGAATATGAAAGTCATTAAATATTTGTTCAAGACATTTTTAAGGATAAAATGGGTATTTTAAAAAACTTTCATAAGCTTCTTCCAACTTTCTCTCCATTTCTCTCCAATTTGAAAGGAAAAATTTTACATACTATTCATCCTCTTAAATCATTCCATTTCCCTTTTTTTCTTTCCTACTAAAAACTAACAAATGAAAGAAAAGTTAACTTTCTCTTCTTTCCCTTTCTTTTCTCTCCAAATCCTCCACTCCCAAACGAAGCCTAAAGCCAAATATGTACTCCCCCTAATAATTATCAAGTCAAACGCGGATTCCAGCCAAGGATGCGTTGCCCGGCCCGTTTTCCAATGCTGACTACTTATTGTACGTACCAAATTTTCAACCTTATTATGTGGACCATCACTTTTTGACACTTTAGTTGACTCTCGGATTATTCTGGCCCCGGTTTCTTAAGTAGATAGTATCCCAGAAACGTACTACTATTATCCCTTTTTTCCCCCTTTGACACTAGTACTACTCGATTTGGCTTTTAGAATTTTGGCAGAATATTCATCCTTTTACTACTAATTATAATAGATACATGGACTATTGATATTATCATGTGTTGAAAATTCAATTGGTCAATTGAAAATGGGAGTTTCCATTTGAAAATTAGTGCTGACAATTGATATTATCATGTGTTGAAGTGCTTGCTTCTAATCAACTTCAAACTAATAATAATTGTTAGTACATGTATTTACATAATAAGTTGAATACGAATTTAAGTGTGTGTTATCTTTTTAGAAACCGTTAATGATTTGCATCATCGCTTTTCACGTCACCGTGATGTATTTTTTACACAATACTCCGATTTAGTCTTTATTTTTTTTGTATACGAAAAACGTCTTTGGAGAAAAAAAATGGAGGGTTTGGCACTTCGTGTAGCAAAATAGAGGATAATCAAATTATTAGCAAGGCTCTAATTAAGAAACTTGTAAATTTCAAACCTTAATGCATGCTTAATAGGAAGTATCTAAGGGTGTTTTTGATAAAATTAAAGTCTAAAATCTGAAATTTGAATCTATTAAGTTATTAAATTGTTAAATATTAAATCTGTAAGTGCCCGGTGCAACCCAATGAGTACAAACAAATTCACAATGATGCACAAAGATATATCAAATTTAAGCACAATAAAGAAAACTTAATTAAAGAGAAAGGATAAGAAATGTAAACCAAATATCAAACCAATAGCCTCTTCAATTGATGGCGATGCTAACCAAGATGTACAAGTGAAGGCTCACTCCTTCCTCACCCCAAACACACTTTGGTTGAGCCAAGGAGTTTTACAACAATTCTAGTTAACCCTCAACAGCCTACACTTGAAAGATCACTCACCCAATTAAGAACTATTTTATACAAATGAGGCAACCTTCACCAAGGTTTTACCACTTCAAGTGATAGGTTCACCTTCACCAAGGTTTTACTCCTCCTAGAGAATAACCTTCACTTGAGCAACCTCACAACCCAACTTCCCCAACCCCTTATACAACCAACAAAGAATCTTTCTACTCAAAAATCTCACTTGTAAGCTTGTATTTTGTGTTGGCAAAAGTCTTTTTTCTTCTTGTGCTTTGGGGTGTTTATAAAAGGTGAGAAATGGCTCCAAAAGGCTCTCCAACGGTCAAATATTAAATGCTGTCAAAACTAGCCGTTGGCCTGTCGGACGTCCGAACCACCTG